AGATTCTATTCAATAGGCATATATTTGCTTATGTCTATTTTTCTGCTACCCCATTTCTCACAATATTTGAAAAACTACCAACTACTGCTGGTGATCTCATTTGATAGTATTCTCAGTACTACTGGATGAAATGTATCCAGGCTAGGTGATATACTTATTTAAAATAATTATCTGTTCACTACTCTTCTATCTTCAATTTCAAGTCCTGCTTAACTATGTTTACTTTGCACATATTGGTTTGAACATATTTTCCCTGTCATTGAAAACGAAAGCCAAATATGAATTCTTTAATTTCCTCAATGATCAACGCAACATCCCCTACTAAGCAGTGCACCTAATGTCCTCCTTGTCAATTCGTCCTGATTTAAATCTATTTTGAAATAGGCTGGAGTTTTATTTGTTCAATTTACTGTTCTGACCATTTTTCCTAATTCCTAGCTCATTTTCAGTTTTAGGAATCTTGACACAGTTCTTATTATGATATACTATTATATTCATAACTGTTTAAAATCTAAACTTTCTTTAAAATTTCTTATACCACAAAAATTTACCCACTGCGTCCTTTTCTTCCACAGTAGAATTCTTCACCATTATATTGTCAATTTCTTCCTTGAAGCTGCCCAGCACTGGCAAGAATTAGTTTCCCTTTCAGAGTCTTTTTTTTTTTTTTTTTAAGATTTTATTTATTTATTTGGCAGAGAGAGACACAGTGAGAGAGGGAACACAAGCAGGGGGAGGGGGAGAGGGAGAAGCAGGCTTCCTGCAGAGCAGGGAGCCGGATGTGGGGCTCGATCCCAGCACCCTGGGATCATGACCTGAGCCGAAGGCAGATGCTTAACGACTGAGCCACCCAGGCGCCCCTTCCTTTCAGAGTATTAAATCATAATTACGTTTAGGCTAAATAAGGCCCGATAAAGTAACTTTCAGTCACTATCTTATTTCATTCATTATTTCAGTAATGAGAATCAGCACCAGTACCGCAAGAACCTGACAGATTATTTCATAGCCCATTTCATGGTGGCAAACCCTGCATAGGGCCACTCATCAGCTCAGGATTGAGGCCCTGATGTGCTAACAAGTTTCCAAAGCTACAGTATCATGAATTTTCCTGCATTTTTACAGTTTCCTCTGATTATCACCCTGCTACTGTACTTATTTTCCCCAGTAACAGCCTCCTCCTCTGAACTGGCATCCTGTCCACATCTTCAACACCTTGTCCAAATATCAATTTTCTTTTTTCAGAATACTCCCCAAATTTTTCTCTTTATTTTCTCATGTTACATACTGTGTTATATCTCTTCATAAAAAAATATTAATCACTGAAATCTAACAAAGTTACTAGCATAGATGTTTAATAAATGTTTGTTAAATGTATGTATTATTTGATAAAATTAATATTCTGGCAGATGATTTTTCCCCCAAAATCTTATAATCAACTTTATTCAAAGGTTTTCAAAAATTTACACTTGACAACAGTCAATGCAAAAGTTCACATGTGCCAGATACTCATATTGGCTATAGGTGCATTCAATCTTATACTGAGTTAAGCAATGCCCATGGTCAACTGTGAGGGCTTTACATGTACTCTTTAATCTTCACCACAACCTTCTTCACTGTGATTTAACAAATATGCTTGTCTTTGTAAAGCTTACTTTCTAGCAGGAAAACAGACACTAAGTACACAAGTAAGTGAACAAATAATCTAGTTTGACCATTAGCACTGAATCCAAGGGCCAGCAACTATCAACCTTCTCCTGAAATGAAATTAGTAAGACTCTCGCTTTTATTTTGTCAATTTGCTAAAATATTCATCAGTTTATTTATATTCAACTTTTAAAAACGGGGTGGGACTCTCACTGCGCATGCCCCTGTCAGAATCTGCATACACATGGAAGTAACTACCAAAACACCCTACCAAAAGAGGAGTTGAGTGTGTGCAAAATGACTTTGCATAGTTTGTAACCATCAGAATGACCAGAAAGTCAAAACATCAGAAACAAAGAATTATATTTACCTGGGAGAGTTTCGTGACTAAAGTAATAGTTTATATTAATTCAGTCAAGAGAAAACAGGCATAAACAAGAACAGCATATAAAGCAGGAGAGAGTGCTTAGAATTCAAGTGTTCTGAAGTTCTATGTTATTCAGAATGAAGCTAGAGGTATTTATTGACTTTAGATTTTTGTAAGTTAAAAATGTATATTAAAATTTCTAGGATAATCACTAAAGGAAGAGAAACAAATAACTTCCAAGTAAGTAAGATGGAGATAAGGCATGAGAAAATATAACCTAAAGTAAGATATGAAAGGAATAAATGTCTCCTATTGAGATAGAGAAGCTGAAGGAACTGCATTTTAGAAAGGCTCTATTTCTGCTGTTTTTCTGCTAGGCCCCATTTACTCATGTTCTGTATTTTGCATCTGAGTAAAAAACCAAAGAAGCTGTGTTCCCCACTCCAAGAAGGGGAAGCAAGAAAGTTAATCATTCTCTGAGGTTTGTCGCAGGCCCTGCCCTCAAACACCTGATAACATCTAAGAAGAGTCAGATCCTAAACATGTTCTGGGACATTAGCTTTCAAAAAACCGCGGCTGACTCTGGCATCAGTACTTTCTACCTTCAATGATTTATAAAAGAACACCTATTGTTCACCTGTTATTCGCCTCTGATTAGACCCTAACCTGGATTCCTGAAGGAACACTTATCCTGGACCCCTTTCCCAATATAAACCCTGAGCCCCAAGTGAAAAAGAGACTCATTCTCCTCTCCTTCCTGAGTCTTCCAGACACTCCACCTGCTATTCTCTACCTGTCACTTATGCTATTCAATAAACTCTGCTTTCACGTGTTCGATTGTGTTGATTTCTATCCTGCACGAAGCCAAGCACTCTCTTGGCTGGTCCTGAAGGACCCCCACTTCTGGGTTCTCAGACCCAGACTGCCTGTATCACTATGTTTAAAAATTAAGAAACATACTCATAGGGCAAATAAAATCACAAGGGAAATAAAAAAAAATGTTAGAATGATAAAAAAACATTACATGCTAAAACTTGCAGATACAAGTAAAGTGATATTTAAAGGAAAGTTTACAAACTCAAATACTATTAGAAAAGGCTGACATTATTACAATACGCAACTAAAGAAACTAGAAAAAACAAAAACCAAAAAAACCCCTAACCCAAACAGAATAAACTCAAAGAAAGCAGAAGAGAAAAAATAATAATGGTAAGAGGAGAAGGGGGAAAAGAGAGAACTGTCTCTGTCACTAATAGCCACCAGTTTTTTCCTCTCTGTATCTCTCATTTAATCTTCCAAGGGAAGGTCAGCTTGTTTCTACCAAACACGACCTTAGTTTATATGTAGGTTATCCACACATTTACAGATTTACATGAACACATGTATTATGTAGGTAAATGTGTGTGTGAAAACGGGGGGGGGGATGGCAGCACATGGGGGAGGGACACAGGAAGATTCTTTAAAAAGAGATGGATCTTTGAAAAGACCATCTTTTGGCAAGAATAGTCAACGGGAAAAACAAAAAACAAGGCACAAATAAACATTATTAGGAATAAAAAGGGGGCCATACCTAAATATGCTATAACAAAACCCCCAGGATATTAATAATAATATTTTGAAATAAATATGAAATGGACAAATTCCTAGAAAAAATAACCTAGCAAAATTATTAATAGAAAATCTAAATGGTATAACCATTAAAATTTTTAACTAGAAATACTAAATCATCCCTCAAAGAAAATTATAAAACACAGGTTAAGTTTTACCAGGAAAAATTATCCTTATTCATAATACATACAACCAACAAAGGATTAGTATCCAGAATATATAAAGAACTCATAGGGGCACTTGGGTGGCTCAGTCGGTTAAGCGACCGACCCTTCATTTCGGTTCAGGTCATGATCTCAGAGCCCTGGGATAAAGCCCCATGTTGGGCTCCACACTCAGAGCGCAGTTTGCTTGAGGATTCTCTTTCTCTCTCCCTCTGCCCCTCCCTCCACTCGCTTGCTTGCTCTCTCTAAATAAATAAATAAATATTAAAAAAAAAAAAAAAAAAGGACTTGTACAGATCAGTAAAAAGGACACCAAAGACAAAAACGAACAAAAATCTTGAGAGGTTGTATCACAGAATAGAAAACTTGAATGACCAATAAATATATTCAACCACATTATCAAACAAGGAAATGCACATTAAAATCACAATGAGATACTATTTAAAGCTCCAAACAATGGCAAAAACAAGAATATCAGGTATTGATGAGAATATGGATCAGTTAAAACTCTTGTACATTGTTGCTGAAAATGTAAATTATTTAACCACTTGGAAAATAATCTGGTGTTATCCACAAAGATATGTATACATAACCTATGTTTTACACAGCACTTTTTATATTAGTAATATTCTGAAAATAACTCAATATCCAACAAAAGTAAGATAAATTATAGTGTATACATAAAAGAAAAAACTCCAGAGCACTGAAAACAATCTCAGGAATATAATGTTGTGCAAAAATGTAAAGCTGAGATTATATGCAGTATAATTCATTTATATAAAATTTAAGATCAGCAAGATAAACAATATATTGATTGGAGATCTAAATGTGTGCTAGAGCTTTATAAGAAACCAGGATTGTGGTTATTTCTGAGGGGAGTTAATGTTAGTATTAATGCTCTTTTTCTGTACCTACTAATATTTAAAACACATTTTAAAAATATTTCAATGTGTAGTATTTGAAATATAATAGTTATTTCCTTTGTGGGAATTTTTAGGCTTAAAGATAGTATCACTGAATAAAATTCATTTATAAAATATATCCTTAAAAATGTTTTTAGAATGCTAATAAATATTATGAAATTCCCTATAACTAAAAAACCATAAACAATCAAAGGGTGAAAATTCTACATGAAAGAAGAGTTCTCTCTGAGCATGAGCTACACTAGTAACAAAAGTAATATAAATCATAGCAACAAAATAAAGTTATCATCCTACCTTTATTGGTGAAATATGAGAATGGGAAACAAATCCATGGACATTCTCAATTTCTGACAGGTTCTTCTCTGAGACATGAACTAATTCCGGACCTATCACCTCATTAGTGATTTGTGGGGATATGTGCTCTTGAGGAGGTGTGTCTTCATCCTGATACCGGTATTTCTGTAAAGAAAATTATTATATTTGATAAAGTCCTGAAAAGCAAAGTACATTCAATTTAAATCATGGTTTCATAACTAGCCAAATACTCAATAATATTTAACTATATGGAATGTGTATTGTATAGTTTAATGCATAAGGTCTGAGAGAATAAGCCTCCATTTTATTTTTTTATTTTTTTTAAGATTTTATTTATTTGACAGAGAGAGACACAGCAAGAGAGGGAACACAAGCAGGGAGAGTGGGAGAGGGAGAAGCAGGCTTCCTGTGGAGCAAGAAGCCTGATCCGGGGCTTGATCCCAGGACCCTGGGATCATGACGTGAGCCGAAGGCAGACGCCTAATGACTGAGCCACCTAGGAGCCCCTAGGCCTCCATTTTAAAGTCATGCCAATTTTTAATAAAATATTTGATTATTAAAACTAATTCAGATTATGGGAAGATGGCTGAGTAGGAAGCACAAAGAATTTGTCTTTCCATTTAGACAATTACACAGGCAGAATCTGTCTGATGTAACTATTTTGGAACTTTGGAGTCATTTGAAGGCTTGCAACCTACAGGGGGGAAAGTTGGGATGGTAAATTGTGATTAATTTAGGTCAACTTCACCACTTCTATTCATCATAGTACTGAAGTTGCACCCAGAGCAATTAGGCAAGAAAAAGAAATGAAAAACACTCAAATTGGAAAGGAAGGAGCAAAATGATCTCTGTTTACAAATGATATAATGTTTTATGTAGAAAATTTTAAAGACTCAGCAAAAAAGCTGTTAGAACTAATGAATTCAGCAAAGTAGCTGGATACAAAGTCAACACACAAAAATCAGTTGCATTTCTATACACAAACAATCTAAAAAGAAAATTACAAAAACAGTTCCATTTGCAACAGCATCAAAAAGAATAAAATACTTGGGGATAAACAAGGTGAAATACTTGTACAATGAAAACTATAAAACACTGCTGAACAATTAAAGATGACAGAAAAAAATGTGTTTATGGATTGGAAGACTCAATATCGTGAAGATGTCAATATCAACCAAAGCAATTTATAATCCCTGTCAAAATCCCAATGACATTTCTTGCAGAAAGAGAAAAACCCACCCTAAAATTCATGTAGGATCTCGAGAAATTTGAATTGCCAAAATAATCATGAAAAAGAACAAAACTGGAAGACTCACACTTTCTCATTTCAAAACTTACTACAAAGCCAAAGTATTCAAACCAGTTTGGTATTGGCATAAAGACAAACATATAGACCAATGCAATAGAAAAAAGTCCGGAAGTAAACCTTCACATAAATGGTCAAATTATTTTCAGCAACGGTGCTAAGATTATTCAACGGGAAAAAGACAATCTTTTCAACAAGTGGTGCTGGGAAAAGTAAATATCTACATGCAAAAGAATGAAGTTGAATCCTTACCTAATTTTTACCATGGATAAAATTCAAAATGCATCAAGGAGCTAAATGTAAGACTAAAACGATAAAACTCTTAAAAGAAAACACAGCACACAAAAGCTTCATGACACTGCATTTGGCCATGATTTCTTGGATATGACACCAAAGGCACAGGTAACAAAAGAAAAAATAGACAAACTGGATTTTATAAAAATTTTAAAATTTTGTGCATCAAAAGACCCTATCCACTGAGTAAAAGGAAACCCACAGACTGAGAAAGTTTTGCATATCATATGCCTAACAAAGGATTAATATCCAAAATACATAGAAAACTCCTAACTAAAAGTCAGCAAAAAAACCAAACAATTCAAACATGGGCAAAGAACTTGGATAGAGATTCCTCCAAAGACAAATGAATGGTCACTAAGCACATGAAAAGATGTTCAACATCACTAATTGTTACAGAAACGCAAGTCAAAACTATGAGATACCACCTCACGCGAATTAGGATGATTCCTATAAAAAAACAAAACAAAACCAGAAAACAAGTTCCAAGAGAAACTGGAACACTCATGCATTGTTGGGAATATAAAATGGTACAGCCACTGTGGAAAGTAGTATGGTGGTTCCTCAAAAAAGTAAAAACAGAATTACCATATGAATCCAGCAATTCCACTTCTGGGTATATACCCCAAAGAATTGGAAGCAGGGTCCTGAAGAGATATTTGTACACCCATGTTCATATAGCACTATTCACAATAGCTAAAACATGGAAGAAACCCAAGTGTCCATCAATGGAGAATGAATAAGCAAAATGTGGTATAAATAGTTTGATTATTAAATCAAACTTAAATAAATAAATAAAATATTCCATTTACAATGGAATATTTTAAGATTAAAAAATTGTGCAATATGTTACATGTGGGTGAACCCTGTGAACATTATGCTAAGTGAAATAGGCCAGTCACAAAAAGACAAATACTGTGTAATTCCACTTATATGAGGTACTTAAGAGTACAGCTGATCCTTGGAACAACAAGGGGTCAGGAACACCAACCCGTATCAAAAATCTGTGTATAACCTTGACTCCCCAAAAGCTTAACTACTAATAGCCTACTATTGACTGGGAAGCCTTACCAATAACATAGACACTTAACACATATTTTGTATGTTATATGCATTATATACCATTTCTTACAATAAAGCTAGAAAAAAGCTGAGAAAATCATAAAGGATAATTATGATATATAATTATAATTTTATAATCATAAAAAAACAGACTAGTATCTACATATATTTTATATTCATAAATACTTCTTTCTTAATGTTTTTAATATTTCTAGGCTATGCAGTTCATCTGAGAGCTTTTTTAAACTGTTGCAAATCTCTAAAAGATTTTCCAATGTACTTATTGAAAAAAATCTGATCAGTGCACCTGCACAGTTCAAAACCATGTTGTTCAAGACTCAACTGTAGTCAAAATCATAAAGACCTAAAGTTATAATGGTTGTTGCCAGGGGCTGGGGGGAGGGGATAATTGTGACATATTATTTAACAGGCATAGATTTTCACTTTTATGTGATGAATAGAGTTATGGGGATGGATGGTGCTAATGTTTGCACAACCATGTGAATGTATATGAATACCACTGAACTATAAACTTAAAAATGGTAAACTTTTTGTTATGTGTACTTTATCACAAAAAAAAAGAAAAAAAGTTTAAGAAATAATTCAGAGCTTGGTGAAAAAGAAATCTGAATAATGATTTGCTCATTTCTTACCAAATGTCAGCTGAATGCTGTATCTCTAAATACACAGTTGTTTAAGGGAAGTCAAAATGAAAAGCCAAAGTTGTTTGGATAAATTAGTTTGGTTTTCTTATTCAGTTAACTGGTATAAAAATGAAAAAAGTCTTTTCAAATCCTAACTGAAAATTAGTCTGTTAGAGAACAGTATTCTTCTTTTTATCTACAAGAGAACCTTGTCTCTTTCTCTCACTCTCTCACACACATATAATTCTATGCAATCTATTTTTAAAGGAACATAATTTTAAGAAAACTAAATCTACCTTACCCTATACACAAAAGTAAAGGAAATCATAATTATAAGGAACTGGGAGAAAATAAAAGTACATGTTTTTCAACTCAGGCTGAGAATGTGTATACATACACACAAAACCAAAACAAACTAAAATATTCTCTACCCTCCCCCAAGAAACATACTCATAAAGAAAAAGACACAAACAAGCCACGATAGAAACAAATTTTATAACAAATAAATTATTAGCCACTGTTAGCAGCTCTTATAAATCATTAAAAAAACCATAGCAAACATAATAATGGGATATTCACAAAAAGCATACAAACGGATCAGTAAACTTCTAGGAAAAACATGCTCAACTTCCCTAGTAAGTAAAAATTACAGTGTTAGCATTCAGAGAAATGGGCATAAATCATCACATTCTTGGTAGGGGTCTTTTTCTGGTGGGCAGATTGCAATGTTTCAAATGTCCTGAAAATGTTTCTACTACTTGATCCAATAATTCCACTTCTAGAAACTAATCTTTTTTTTTTTTTTT